AGATCTCTAGTTACTTCCAGTTGCACACCAAGGAACACAAGAGGCTTAGAGTAGGTGAGGGAGCGTAAAGTGAAAATTGTAACTTACTGAGACTTTTTCAAAACTATGATGCTTATACTTTTCTAAGCAACATTAAACCTACATCCACCACAATTTTTCCTGATTTTCTAGATGAAGGGAGGCTGACAGTAAGTCACTCTGTGTGGCCGTATGAATTCTTGTTCCCAAACACAGCACAGTGATAGATCTTAAAGGTCTTGGCAGTAGGTCTAATTTTTGACAGCAAAGCCACCCTTATAATATTCACTCTTATATCCTGGCCACCCATCCTTTTTCCTGCCTATGGTTTTACACTAAAGGTGTAGAAGATTGCCATTAACTTGTCATTAAGTAGGAAAATCTTGGATGTTTCTCAAAGGTGGCATCGGCATCTGAGGCAGTACTTGGGCTTTTGATATTGTCAGTAGAGCTAGAATATTATGAGGTCCTCTGGCTGATAGCCAATGGATAATAAGTCTGTTCCTATTTGCTTCTCTTTTGTATGTGATACTGTAATTTTGTTAGAGGGCCTTATGTAAAGTAAATATCTTGAACCATATCCTTGTCTGGTGGAATTTTAACTTGTTCTGATTACATTAGTTGGGGATTTTTGCTGTCACATAGACATCAAGAAATGAAGAGGGAGAAATTACGTATTTAGGTATAGGCAACTGCCACATACCTATGCAATGCTTAAGTGTTCCATGTAACCAAGAAGCCCAAATTCCATAGAATCAATTAGTGGTAGGCAATAATTAATATGCTGATCTTAACTCATACTCAGCAAAGAAACTTTATACAGGACCCTGATTATTCCATCTTCTCTGTCCAGCTTCTTCCAAATCATCTATGTGTAAAGTTTAGCACTTCCTTCCAGGAGTCTTCAAATTCTGGAATTTAGTGAAGCCAATTCCAAACTCCCAGAAGCCCTACATGTAGCTTGCCTCTTATTAATAAAATAAAAGGCATAAAATAACAGCATGGGGAAGAGAGTTTATTCTTCGATAATTGTGTTTAATCCCTACTGCATTTTGCATTGTTCTGGAAATGTGTCTGTGCTGCACAAGGGCCTCACTGTGCTTTGGAAGACGTTGTGTGTTGCTCTAACCCACAATGTCTTACAGGTGCCAAACCACTTAGGATTAATTCCTCCTCTTTTCTGATGTAACTTCAGGTGGAATTGCCTGCAAACATGTAAGTCAGTTCTCTAGTAAGTATCAAGGAGTCTTTAGAAACATAAGAGAATATTATCTACTGAAATCAACCTTAGATTTTCATCTATATTAAACAAATATACTTTTTTGGGTGGATTTTTGCAGGATGAAAACACACAAAAAACCCCAGAAAACAGATGTTTTTTTCTCCAGCAGGTAGATGCTTATATGTCTTACACCTAACAATGTTATATATACTTAACATTTAAATAATGCTTACGTAAACTATGTATTGAACAAAAAGAACAAGTATACAAGCTTATCTTGTATATGCCTTGGCGCCTTTTCTTTAAACAGCATAGTGTTAATATTGAACTACCCTGCCTTTTTCAATTAGCACTCCTCAAGAGTCTTTTAAATACAAACACCAAAAATATATAATAGAGGGAAAAGTCAGCTATTCAGGTCTTTCCTTTGATTCTTTTGGGGGTGAAAAGCTTATTATTTTGATGAAGTGCTCTTGATAAGTATCTGCGTATCTTGGAAGTTTTGTTTTTTCATCAAGATACCATGAGTTGCTCAGCTCCTCTTTATAGATTAAAATGGTTAGTTTGTGTTGATGTGAATAAGGTATCATTAAAGACATAGCTACCTAATGTTATTATGATGTTCACAGTCTTTTAAGAAAATTAACCATGCCTTTTGAAATATCTAGTGTTTGTTGCGTTTACTACTCAATCAAGGTCAGAATTGTGGCTCAACCTGTTTGCTCTGCATCAAAGGGCAGAGCTTTTTTGAAACAGAATTTTAGTGGTTACAGTTGTTCATACATCTTTCTTTTTTGACTGCTTGAAAGCAAACTCTTGGGGATATCCTGAGAACTTGCAGTTGTCACTGATTTTTGCTCACAGAGTAGTTCATTTTTAAGTTCATACCTGAATGTTAGGCTCTTATTTGTTTAATATAGTTTATTCACATAAATTTATGTCCAACTATATGGAAAACATGCAATGTGAAGATTCCCTTAATTAGTGGAGATCACCTTTGTTGTTGAATGTCTCCTTACCTCATGCTTCGACACCCAGGCATTTCAGTGTGGCTTGTTGTCAGCTCTCCCAGACGTGTGCATTCTCTTCACAGCCATCAAGAGCTGTTTGTGCGGCTACCCAGCATCACTGCTGTATGAGATGGGTCTATATGGGATGATGGGATTTCTTGTAAGAATTCATGGGTTTCTAATACTTTCGTGCTCAGTCAAAAATCCTTAGATTAGACATCCATTTTTTCCAGTCCTTCCCTAGGGGATCACTACAGGAAGGTGTGCATCAGCAGGATTCAGATCTATTACAAGTAAGAAGTTCCTGGTGTTTTTGTATCAAATTCTTAGTTGGTGGTCCCTTATGACATATCCTGTCATATTTAGCAGCTAATAAGAGAACTTGAACAGCTGAGATGAGAAATTTAAATAACAGAATGAAGGGTGCTCAAAGCCTCCTAAGCATTGCTAAAAATAGAACTGCCTTCTATTTTGCATTCAAGACCTTGAGTAAGAGCTGAATTTCCTTTGATTTAATGCATTAATCAGCTGGTTATCCAGCTAGATTTCTCTTTCAGGTCTCAATAATTGTATGTGTATTGGTCAATAAGTGCATCTAGATGCACGAGCAATACTAACAATCTGAAATGGCATGAATTGTCAGCCTGATTTGTCTTAACCTATTTTCATTCAAAAAATCTACTGTCAGCATGGCAAATTGTATTATTTGGATTAATTATTTTCCTATGAAAACCCTCACTTAGTTTTTAAAGGCCAAAAAAAAAAAAGACCCCTGCTATATTCTGACCTTCTTTCATACACAGATAATGAAAAAAACTTTTAAAAAGATACACAATTTTCCTTTAGGGATCTGAAGAGATAGAGAGTCCTACATCCCTTTGGATGAATGGTTTTAATGACTCATTACTCTCATATTTCTAAGATTTTGTTTTTTGAACCCTTCTTTCATCAAAAAATGTAACATTTAGGTACTTGGGGATTGTGATCCCAATACCTATTTATTTCCCCTGGTTGGCTGCCTTTTCTTCAGCCTTTCAGAACTAAGTTGAGTTTGATTAATCCTATAGGATTCATCCTATAGGATATGCTTTCTGGTCTTGGGGCATTCTTCTGGCTATCTGAAATCTTCCCACAGCTTCTTAACATTGTCCTTGAAATACTACCACAAAGAATTTGTATTTCTGTAACAGCCTCACTAATGCTATAATTGAGATTATAAATGCCAATTATAAATTGAGATAATTTCATTTCCGTGGATGGGTCTTCACCTAGTTTTCTATCATGAGTTTTCCAGATAATACTCTCCCAGGACAAAGTTTTCCATTCTGTAAATACAGGCTATGTCCTTTGTTCGTAAATGTTTGCTGTTATTATTTCACTTCTGAAAAGGAAATGGAATCTGTCAATATTCATTAAATAGTGTAGAATACTAGTATATTTCATTCCATCCCTTCCCACTCCCTAGAAAAGAACATGAAACCCCCCTGCTCCATTCTCATTGGTTTTATTGCTTATTAGAGCTAATGCTCCCTGAGGGACATTTCCAGGAAGCTTTAACCCATAAATTAGATATAACCACAGCATGCAAAGCCAACAAACACAAGGTTCTGTGTACCCAGTAAGTGTCATAAAGAGAAATGAGCATGAATTAGTCATGTTTGGTAACCTCTTGGGTGTTTTGGGAAAAAAAAATGCATATCCTGGTATCCTTGTATATGCCAACAGGGAACTTGCACAAATCTGGAGCTACTGAAATCTAATGAAGGTGAGATGTTTTCTGTGTCGCATGAACAGGGACAAAGATTGTTACTGGTGTAGAAGTGGTTGTTTTTTCATGTAGAAATGGAAATTTTCAAGAGATACTAAACAAGGTTCATTTAGACTTCTAACTAAATTTCAAGAATGGCATCTGATTCCTATCCGATTCCTATTTTGTAGTAGCTGTCCCAAATTCAGTAATCCATAAACAGTTTCCAAGAGACTGAAGGATCCAATCTAGCCTAAACTCTCTAAAACTCTCTATTTTTTTGATTTTTTTTTTCTGTATTCAAATGGTTAATATGAGAGAAAACAGTGTCAGAATCACTTTAGTTGTCTACTCTCTGCTTTGTCGCTGTTAGCTAAAACTTCACTTTTCTCTTGAAACTAAAAGATAATTTATTTTGATTTGAGAATGAATGTGTTAGAAATCTCAAATGGTGTGGCCATATAAAACGTTGCTTTCCAACATGTTGTGTTGCGCAGTGGCAAGTCAAGAGATTTATTTGCTTTAGCACTGTTCATGTTACAGCAACAGCTAAGCATTGTATACAATAGTCATCTTTTTTTTTTTTTTTTAGTATCAAGTAAAGCTTCTTAGCCTCCTAGGTAAATCTGTGCATAACATACTTGTTTCTCACTTACGTATGGAAAACTATAGGTGAAGTTGTATTCCATATTAATTTACACCAGTAATTCCCCATTCCCTATTGTGCGTGCGGCTGTGTGTGTATATATATATATATGCATGTTTATATATGTGTGTTTCATATTCCTTTATTCTTCATTTAATTAGCTTAAATACTTTAGTAATAAGCAATAAAAGAGTTCCTTGCTGAGTCCCCTCCCTATTCAGAACAATGTAAACACTCCATGTTTTGTTTGAGGGTTCTGGTTTTGAGTTACAACTTTGATGTCTTCCAGATAAAATCTGCGATCAAATCAGTGATGCTGTGCTAGACGCCCACCTCAAACAGGACCCAAATGCCAAGGTTGCTTGTGGTAAGTTTGCTGCTTTGTTTTAGCTCCTGACCTACACATCCAGTCACTGTGCTTTTTGTGACAAACTTGCAAAATTTGATCCTGTCATGTGCCAACTCATTTTACTCTCAAATAATTAGGTAAAAATTGCAATCTTCTCTAGAAGGAGAGATGAGAAGAAACAATAAAAGTTTTTCTGAAGACTGAGTTTTGAGCAGCCTACAGAAAGGTAGTATGTGCTGTAGAACAGTAGGATAGTTAATATAGTATGTGCATATAATATTCCTAGGAGAAACAGTTTTCCTTTTTTTTTACAGTGTATTTTTCAAGGACAATTTTAATGTTTTATTAAAAAAAATAGTGAAGTGCTGTTTTTTTTTCAGTCTTAGTTGCACATAATTGCTTTTTTTTTTTCTTTTTCTTTTTTTTTTTTTCTTCCTGATTTCTCTGCGGAGAGTTATACCATCAACCCTGAGCTCTTGAGCCTGGTTCATTCACTGCATGACTACATCTGATGGAAATAGTCTTCCTTGTGTCAGACTGGACACAAGTTTGCAAAATAGCTGGTCGCTGTTAAGGATTATTTGGCCCAAATATGAAGCCGAGAGTGATTAGGGTCCTAGAAATTGCATCCGAATGCTATGTTTCCCTGAACATCTGGGCGTATCACTGAGCCAAGCTCAGTGTTCTGATTTCCTCAGCTGTAAATTGAACATACTTGATTTTACTTACTTTCAGACTTGGGGTGAATATGAAAATATTTTGTTGAAGGAGCTAAGACTGCTAATAATACGGGCAAAAATACGTATCATTTAAATGCCCAGTAGTTCTCTTTAAATCATCATCATCATCACAAACATATTTATTCCTGAGAGTGGTTTGGATTATTCTGTTTGTGTAATCCTGTTTTCATCTCCCTTTTCAGAGACGGTGTGCAAGACAGGGATGGTGTTGCTCTGTGGGGAGATCACATCTCTTGCTATTGTGGATTATCAGCGAGTTGTCCGAGATGCAATTAGACATATTGGCTATGACGATTCAGCTAAAGGTTGGTGGAAAAAAATCAAGAAACTCTTGAATAGGAGGCAGTTGACAACTGCATGACAGTTCTGTCATCACTTCTGAATCTGGACTTTAGCAAGCCTAATAAAAATTGAATATACTGTATGAAAGCATATTGCAACATGATGCACGTTCTGGGTTTATTCCCAAAAGTAGAAGTAGAAAAGTAGAAGTAGAAAGTAGAAAAAACATCATGTGTTAGTTAAAATTTAAAAGGAGCAGGCAGGACATGCTTTGAGATGTACTGTTGAGGGAGAATAGAGTTAATTGCAAATTTAGCCACCGAATTTACCACTCATTCAAACTTGTCAGCACTTGAATCTCTGCTATTCATTTGGCAAGTTGATGCATCTTGGTGAGAAAGAGAGGGAAGAAGAAACTTGCTTCATTTTATTTTCTCACTATATATTCGTCCTGTGTTAGCCCCTGCAATTCTGAGGCATAAAGCAGGTCCTCACTGTGCAAGATGCTTTGAAATTTGGAACGAACTCCTGTGCCGAGGTCAAGATTGTGTACAAGTGATGAAAAGGACAAAGTAATTTATATCCCTGACATATTTCACTTTCTTGTTCACAGTGTATCTCATTATTTATACATTCAAAATACAAACAGTGTCACCATGAAGCATATCTTTTAAGAGCTTTTGGTTAACAACATTTTTTTTTTTTTCAATCCTTTAATCGCTATATATTTTCCAGGGAGATTATGATGGGAGAATATTGAAGTGGCACATCTGCAGGTTACCTCCAGTATGACATAACAGCAGTACTGGCAAACGTAATATTTCCTAAGTTTCTTTTCTATCCTAGTCACCGATAATTTTAAGGGAAAATACAGCGACCCAGTAAAAAACCAATACCTTTGCAGAAAATAAAAAACTAAAACTAAAACAAAAAATTGCACACAGACCTATGTTTTCCTTCTCTAGCCTTTTTCAGAGAGTAGGAAGAATATTATTCAAACGGATAATATGAGTGTGTATATATATGTACATATATATGTATATGAACTATGTGCATGTCCTCAGTCATCAGCTGACAGTAGCTACAGTTTTGAGAAAAACAGGATTTGGAGAGAAGCAAGATACTCTTTATATAAAAAAGAGGTGGAAAATATTGCATAATCATCTGGAAATTCTTGAATCCCATTTTAAAATCTTTGTCTTGGAGGGTAATGTAAAGTAAAGCTCCATGTCAAGATCTGCTGCAGATCTTGGATCTTTTTTTTCCTTCTGTGGTTCTCAGAATTTAGGTACATAAACTCCTTGTACCTCCATTAAAACTCCTTGTACCTTCTTTACAGGTAGTATATCAGAGATCATAGCCTCCAGTTACTGAAAACATCACCTCACAGGAATTTTTATAGATATTTTTAATACTATTTATTTGGGAGAGGCTCATTGTTTACTTTTTTGACTAGTTTTCTACATGTAGCAGTTCATAAACTGAATTGACTTTGCACAAGATCTCAAAGCAAGAGAGGATTAGCAGTAATGCAGAGATGGAAGGGAGAGCAGGGGACCTGCTTTTTGGTGGTGATCTGATAGTTATGCTAAAACTGTAATGTTTAGCTTCATTCCTGGCTTTATAGCTTCTGGCCAAATACCTCGTGGGATAAAGCTTCCTTCTGATTTTGAATATCCAAAAGCAAGCAAGCAAAGTAAGCCTGTGTACATCCATCCCCCCCAAAAAAGGTTTTGGAGTATCATACTGACAAAATTTATCCAAAAATAGCAGTTAGGTTATGGATTATGAATGTCGTGTCCTTCAGGATGAAAATTTTGGTGTAAGGTTCCCTATTTCCTTAATTATGACAGAAAAAAACTAATTCACCACTATGCTTCCTTCTGAATAGGCTTTGACTACAAGACTTGTAATGTTTTAGTGGCACTGGAACAGCAGTCACCTGATATTGCCCAGGGTGTTCATCTACACAGGAATGAAGAGGATGTTGGTGCTGGAGATCAGGTGGACAAGACTTATCACATTTAAAACATCAAAGTTGTTTGAATGGAAAGAACTTAGCTCATTGCCTTATCTTCTAAATCAAAAACTGTCTGAAGTTTGATTTCTAAATCAAGAACTGCACACTTCCATCTTGGACTAGCCTGGAAAACAAAACCATATTTTTTTGAAAACAGTTGCCAGTTCTTTGAGGGCCCACAGTGTTTGTAATGGCACTCCACACATGTCAGGAGAGCTCCAGCTGTTTTTGGTAGCTGAGGATGTGGCCCTGAGAACTTAGCATTTGCTAACGTATTTCAAGTTTTTCTTTGAGTAGCATTAGATTTCTCAGAGCATTCATCTTGCGCCTAGACTTCTCTAAAGTGAGATAAACAAAGGATCTTAACACTTGCACAGAGCTCTTGAGATTTTACACAGCAAAAAAATAGAGGTGATGTTTCAACTGTCTGCAGCATTAGTAAAATGAAGGCAAATATGCCAGAATACTTTTAATGCTTACTTATTTCCCAGCGGCAGAGATCTGTTTTATTATAGTAGGGGTTCCACATAATTAAGGCTGTCCAAGCTGCATTTCTATGAGCTAAATAACATATGTAGATAATTACAGTGTGTTCCCAAGAGAAGGATGCTAACGTAAAAACTCCATAATCCGACTGATGCCAGTATGAATGTGTTTAACATTTACAGTCATTCTCATTAGTATTAATATCTACTTTATAGCAGTACTGTTGAGAACCATAAATGGAGATATCTTAGTCTAGGAGCCAAGCTAATAATGTTCAAATAACCCTAGAGGATTAAATTAAAATGCTTTTATGCTGTCATGGGGACATAATGCTACATCAAATAAAAAGGTATCTGACTTTCTTTGGCACTTTCATGGCCTTCCTTCCCATTGTATCTGAATAGCTTCCTGCCTTTATTGCTTTTGTATCGCAACCACCACTGGGTGAGGTGAAAGGAAGTCTAATAAATGAGAATCTGAAGTAGGGAGTGTGGCTGAGTAATAGTAGAAGCCATGACTTCCCCAGGGACAGGCTAGAAGCTTGTGGCATTGCAAATGTGAGGCAGGTACGTACCTAAGTGTTGTATTTCCTTGATATAGTGGTCAAATTCTGTTCCACAGGAGAAATACCAGAAATATCAGGTGCAAGCTGCTGTATAGATGTGTCTATACGTTAGACTCTCTAGAGCCTTTTCACACTAATGAGAACACCTTCTGTATCACAAATGAGAATACCTTTTGTGTCACGGAATAGTCATGAGATTCTGTTTTGATCAAATAGATTTTTTTTTCTATGAAAAAGACTGTTTTTTTCAGAAAAAAAAAGAGAATTTTGTCCACGTTTCCTTCTACATGTAAATATTTTCAGGCCCTCAATGAAAAATTCTTGAAACATGGTCTGTTGCTTGTTCTGCTGTTACATGTTGCAACCTGATCAGTGTTTTGGCTTCTTGGACAAAAATGTAAAATAGTGGAAATAAACCTGAGGGTTGTTTACTTTTTGTCTCAGGTGAAATCTTGTGGTCTTCAAGATTCTTCAAGGTTTCAGTGCTTTGAAATGTCTCTTCTCCTCCCATTGTAGGGTTTGATGTTTGGCTATGCAACAGATGAGACAGAAGAATGTATGCCTCTAACGATTATTCTTGCTCATAAACTGAATGCCAAGCTAGCAGAGTTGAGACGCACTGGAGAACTTCCTTGGCTGAGACCTGACTCTAAGACACAGGTAAATAGCAGTTTCATACCAGTTTCACTCTTTTTGTCAACACAGTAGTATTCCAATCACTTTTATATAGTCCAAGTTGCTAGAAACTATCACTTTTTTGCTTTCCAAAAATCCTAAGTATTTTTAAAAAGAGCAGTTGAAGATGTTTGGAATATTAGGATTCCTGCTACATAACATGAAGGAGAAAATAAAGCATTTCCAATGCTTGTGCTACTGTATCCTTGTCTGTTGGAAATGGTTAACCTGTATCAGAGTGCAAGAAGCACTCAACTATCTACCAATGAAAAAACATTTAACCTTGCAGAGCTAAATGCTTAGTTCTGGTTGAAAAAGTGTCAGAAAATACAAAGGATCTATTTGCATGTAGTGATTTGGACTGTCCTTTTTGAAGAAATGCCTAAAATTCCTCTGCAGCGTGGAAGTTTAGCTGGAGTTACCAATCAAAAGACCAATTTTGGACAATTTCATAAGTAAACAGATTATGCCTATTGGGTCTCTTTTTTTTTTTCTCCCCTCACCACTGAATACATTACGAATAAAAAAGTAGGCTTCATTTCTCATACCGAGGCAGCGAGGTAAGCAGTGACCTTCTACCATTTTCCTACAATGAACTCCTGGGATAGCATGGCATGGAGTTTGGTGTAGACCAATAATGAACTTCATTTTTTTTTCTTCCTGTTTCTTCCTGTTCTGCTCAGGTCACTGTTCAGTATATCCAAGAGAATGGAGCAGTCATCCCAGTGCGTGTTCACACCATTGTGATATCTGTTCAGCACGACGAATCCATTTCTCTGGAGACTATGCGCAAAACCCTAAAGGACAGCGTGATTAAAGCTGTTGTTCCTGCAAAATACTTGGATGAGAAGACTATTTATCACCTTCAGCCTAGTGGACGTTTTGTTATTGGAGGGCCTCAGGTTTGTATCTTATTGCACTGATACTTTATAGCTTGTCTTTGTCATCAGGCATAAGCACGTTTTTATACAAACGTTCAACTTTCCTTGGATGGCTGTCCTAAGGTGTGAGACCTTAGATAGTCATCAGTTCGGAAAACGGCCCCTCCAGGGCCCTCCCAATTTCCAGGTGGGAAAGGAATGTTGCTTTTGCTCTATCTAGGCATTGCAGGAGCTAGGTTGTACACTTACAGAAGCCAGACGAGTTTATGCTGTATTTATGGTCAGGACTTTAATAGAGATTTGGTTCTTGTAAATAAATTTACAGCTCTTTATATTTTGCTTCCAGTTCCCTCCAGAACTATTCCAACAAAACTTCAAATCTCCTTTCTGAAAAGGAGCACCCGAGCAGACTTTGTTTTTTCTTTGCTTCTCAAATAATCATTTTTAGTGAAATTTGCCAGAATTATTTACATGGTACAGTACCTTTCCATTAGTGTCATGGCATACATAGGAGAGTGTTGATGGTAATCACTATTGTCTTATTGTGTGACTATCTGTATATAGTCAGATTGCTGATATCACTATAATTTCGTGCATCATTTACATTTTAGAAAAGGACAAATCACTGATCTGACAAACTGAGCAAGTCAACCCGTGTGTCAATAATAGGTACATGCCAAGAAGGCTACACATACAAAAGTTCTCAGGAGTGCACTGAACTGCATGATTTTGAAAAAAAAAAGTAATTATAATTAGCTGTAAGCCCATCTGCAGTGCGTTTTCTGTTCTTGCAGTGGAATTGTATAGCTTGTGTTTGCACATACTAGCACAGGCACATTGCAGCATATGTTTGCAGCTTTTTAAAACTGGGATAAGTTTACTTAGTACAGGTCAATCTGCTTGTGTGTCCATGGCCTGACAAGGCCATCTCTGGACTTATGCAATTAATGTGATTATTGTGGCAACCAAAAAATAGCCATTTCCTGTCTGTTAGATTTCAGACTTTCTGTTTACTAAATTACTAAATGTTCCTTTTTAACAAAACTAGCTATGGAAGTCTCAAGTTCCAGCTCTGTTCATTTAAAGAAAACACACTTATTGGGATTTTCAGCTTACATGTTCATGCACCTTACATGTTTCATGATACCTTGAATTCTGTCTGTGCCAAAATTAGTAATTTTGCAGCATGCAAACACCATATTCTCAACAGCAGCACCTGCTGGTATCATGAAGATGTTACAGCTCATCACTTCCACACACATTACAAATTCATTTGTGCTCTTTCAACCTCTTTAAAAATAGATTTTTTTTTTATTTCACTTGCACCATCCTCTTATTCATTTCTATAGTCAAGTCTTAATGATATAGAAGTTGTTCTCATTGCAATTGTCTGTGCCATGAGAAATGGAGGTTTGAATCAAACAGACAAACTACTGGAGGGGAAGATCCTTTAGACAAGCTCAGCTATCTGCGATTTATGTCTATATCTCATGGATTTTTTTGGACAAACTGGACAAACAGTGCTAAAGGTTTTCCTCTGTATTCAGTCTTTTTAAGAAAAGTTTTGGCTCTGCATTTATGTTTGCTATGCAAATATTGCAGCAGTTGAGCTTTATTGGCATAATAGTCCATAGAAAGTCTTTAAAAGTTGCCTGCACAGGTGGAAATGCAATTTCAAATTTGATCATATTTCCAATTACATGAGAATACTGAAGCACTTAGGAAATTGGGGTTCAGATAATTACTCATTGCTCAATGAGTCAAGATCCAATGCAAGTATCAAGCAGTCAAAATTATCAATCAAGGTAGCCATGTGACCAGTTAGAAGGTCATCTCTGCTTCTATATTTAATATTTTAGAATACTGATCTGCAAATGTCTATTTTAATTCCTCATTTTCAATTACCTCTAACTCCCTATACACAGTATATTGCTTAAATTAAAATATAAATATTTTAGTGTTGAAAATTTGTTTTCACATATATTTGTATGGCAGTCTAATGCTGGACTGTTGGATGCTGTCCTATTTCTAACTGTGTTAGCTAGCACCATATTTTTCAATAGTAAACGTTGAGATAATCATGTCTGTTCTTTAACATCAAATATTCACATAACTTCAGATTTTGGCCAAAAGACACAGCAGCCTGATCCAAGTTTCCTTAACCCAGCATAAAATTTCAATACAAAATATTGTTTTCTTAGCAAGTGTTCTATGTTCCATTAGGATACAGTAGACAGGTTGCTTTTTAAAATAGGTATGAGTACCACCAAAATTACTGTAATGCTTGATATATTTATATTTGAAACAGGCACTGGAAGCTCAAACTATCCAAGTTTTTGCTTGACTACCAAATACTATTCGTGAATAGTGAATATGACTTCAAAGAACATTCATAGCCATGGTTGAAACTCAGTGAGACAAGTTCATTCCTTAGCTACACACAAGCATCCACACGTGCCCGAGTTGTGTTTGAGGATTGTAGCAGTGGGGATTGTAAAATGGCAGAGTTCTTCTCCTGATGCAGGGTGATGCTGGTGTTACTGGTCGGAAGATCATTGTGGATACTTACGGCGGATGGGGAGCCCACGGAGGTGGAGCCTTCTCTGGCAAGGACTATACCAAAGTGGACCGCTCGGCAGCATACGCAGCCCGCTGGGTGGCCAAATCCCTCGTGAAGGCTGGGCTCTGTCGCCGTGTTCTGGTTCAGGTTTGCTTTAGCCTGAGTTTAGCTTTTCTTAACGACGTTTCCTTTTCAGCTTTTCCTTGAATAAACCTAGCTAGAGGCGATGCTAGAATACTAGAGACAGTCCTGGAAATTAATTAGGGTCGGAGAAAGGAGGACCTTGATGTGCTTGGTTGAGGACCACTGTGATGCGGCTCACAGCACAAGTTCCTTGAAGCTTAGCTTTCGTTTTATTGGCACTTTTCCTGGACTTTTACTGAGCCCTCAGCTCTCTGCCGCTGGCTGTCATAGAGGTGAGCACTGGATGACTGGGTGAAGGGGACAAAACTTACCAGAGAGGTCAGAATTTTCAAAGGTTTCTCTGTTTTTCTATAATACAGTTTGTGTAATTATAGGAAATAAAGGAGAGGCTGTACTTTTCCTAAGATGGTTCATGAATGAATGTTTTGTTCTGTTGCTGACTGAGGGTCCATCCTTGTTTATAAGCTATAGTGTCTCTTTTGCCATAGGTTTCTTACGCCATTGGAGTAGCTCAGCCGCTGTCCATTTCACTATTCACTTATGGAACATCCCAAAAAACAGAGAAGGAGCTCCTGGACATCGTGCGCAAAAATTTCGACCTTCGGCCCGGAGTCATTGTCAGGTAGAGTAAGAGCAGCCCACAGGTAGGGGCTGCGATCACAGCCTACAACTGATCCCTGCAAAACTGTTAGATATGAAGAGGCAGTGATAGAGTAGCCTCCCGAGCTCACATGGGAATACTCCAAGGAGGCTTATATATATATGTGTATATATTTAAGCAGTCTTCACAGTTTTAACTTTTTATGGATCTACCATCCATAAAAAGAGTGTGCTGTAGCTTCTAAGATAGCACATACAGTTCAGCATTTGGCCTTATATAGTATATGGAATGGAAATAAAGTATGTTTTCGCTTCCAAGAATGTTAGCTTGCTTTTACAGTGCTGTGAAAAACAGAAAAATTTATTTAAAAAGAAAACTGAAGATATTCCTTCTTTTCTATTAAATTTATTTATTTATTATATATTAATATTATTTTAATGATAGTTAAAATTAATAATTCTCCATAATTAAGAATTTCCTCTCTAGCTCTAAAGTACTTCAGATTTAAGTTTTCTTTCCACTTTTATGGTTCTCCTATTGGGCGTATTCACTGATCTGTTTGCATCTCAAGAATACGGTCACTAGCTTGAGGGCATGAAATAGCCATTGTGGTAAATGTCATAAAGTATCTTAACATGAAGAATTTTTCTCTCTCTCTCTCTCCCCCTCGCCCCATCTCTCTCTCTTTTTTTTTATTGTTATTATTATACACACAGGGATTTGGACCTAAAAAAGCCCATTTATCAAAAGACTGCATGTTATGGTCACTTTGGAAGAAAGGAATTCTCATGGGAGATACCAAAGAAACTTGTATTTTGACAATAACAGTCTACCTTTAAAACAGAAGGAAAGTCCAATAACGCTGAGGCTACTTCCAGAAATCAAATTTTACGACTGTGTACTCAACAAAAAGAATTTCAGTTTTTAAATGGAATGAAAGAAAAGGTTATTTTCTTGGAGATTGATTTTTCTTTCTTTCTTTCTTTTTTTTTTTTAGCCCTCAATGTCTTTCATTATCTAAGATATAAAAGGCAGAGTCTTATTTTTTTTTTTTTTATCAGCAGAATACAACAGAATGGGTTATTTTTTATTGCTGCTCTATTGGTTCTTGTGATAAAAGCAGAACATGACTCAGGTACACAAACCATGGCTGAACCTCAAATCTTGCATGGGCAATGGCTCAGTAGATCTCTTGTGTCTGATTACACAGTGGGAAATTCTGAGGTCCAATTTCCTTACTGGAGTTAACACTGAATATGTCTGTGGATCATTTTAATGGAAGAAGGCTGAATATTGCATAACTGTATCTCAGCCTTTTCTGTATAAGGTGTTATATGCATAATATTTAAATCTTCTTCATGGGGTATGTGCTGTTACTGCTGTGTTTCAATTACCTGTGTTTTTGAAACATGTACTCCTATAAAACAACAATCATTCAATAAAATGCTTTTTTCCTACCATGTATTTAAAAGCACCACCCTGTGTGTACATGTATTTGTGCATGTGTGTTACTGCATAATGTTCCATCTGAACTCAGCCACTTACTTACACTGTTGTAAGCTTACTAGGCTTAATGTAATTTTGGAATAAAATACAGTGGTTAGAAGTAACTGTAAAACATCAACAAAAACAGATAGGGTATGAGGTTAAGATTTGGATTGCCCGGTTGTCCGCGGCGTTTCCCTGAGGAAGGAGCCGCTAGGTGGCCGTGTGTCCCGGCACAGCCGAGGGAGCGGGACTGTGCGGGATGCGAGTTGCCCGGTACAGGCGCATGGGGCTGGCACGGTGGCTGCTCCACTCTTTACCCCCTCCACTGGTGCATGGAGCTAGACGGAGCCTCGGGCTGTCGTTTCGTGATGGGAAGAGCAGACTACCTACCACAACTGTCATGAAAATGTGGTCTTTTCTACACTGCACATTTATTATTGGATCAATTAAATTACCTTGCTAGCATGCATGTGCTAGTTCCCGTCGAGAAACAGACTCTATTTTGAGGAAGGAGTGTGGGATGATCCTAGGTTTATGGAAATCAGGAGTGTGGAGGAGCATTTGCAATTCTCTGTAACTGGTTTTGTTTGGCAGGGGGCAACAGGAATGAAATTAATGCTACATGAGAAGGCTCCCCTACAATAAAATATACGTGCACGCACATGCCTGCACACCCACACTCACTCTGTCTCTCTCTCTCAGTCCTAGCTTTACAGTTTAAGCAGTGTTTTGCTAGATTTTCTGCACTGGACAAATGTTGCTGCCCAAGATTTCTCTCCAAACCCAGCTTCTCTGCATAGCACCTCCCAAACAGGTATGGAGACGGAAAGAGAGCACCTGGCTTTGATGATCATTAAAGAAAAACTGTTGAGTACATCATGAATACAGTGATGTTCAAACCTGGAGCTTTTCCTCTTTAGTAATTATGCTACTTTGCATATATATATATATATATATACACACACACATACATATACATACATGTGCATGTGTCTACATGCGCGTAGTAAATACACATACTACATGAGTTGGGAAGAGTAAGTATGTCCGTGTGTAGCTTCTGTTCTGCAGATTTAATGCAATAATCAGTGGCCTTCCTCAAACACCTGGAT